CCCCTGGAAGGGGTGGGGGCCAGAGAGCAAATGAGGGATCTTCCTGACCCGCCTTTCCCCTTCCCCGCCCCCTCCCCTAAGCAGCATGCCCCCCCACACACACCTGTGGCTAGAGGAGGAGGCCATGCTCACAGAGGCCTACGCTGTGCCCTTCTTCCCAGAGAGCGCTCTGTGACCTGCAGACCGGGGAGGGCTCCCGTAGCTCTGGGATGGTGTCGCCTCTGGCCTGGTGACGGCAGCCCACACGTGCCGAGGACACGTGGCCACACAGGTGCTCCCGTCCCAACCACCCAGGGATGAGCCACCTGCATCTCCAGCTACCTCGGCGCACAAGCCTGGCCCGCCACCATGTGGGTCTGGCTGGGACCCCTTGGGCTCCAGCCCACGCCCAGTCCCCACTGCACCCGGCAGGCAGCAGTGCTCACCCAGGCTCCTGCTGCACACCTCTCCCTGCCTCCCTGGCTACAGTGCCCACGCAGGACAGGGGTCCCTCTGGGCTGGCTGCAACCACATGGACCTTGAAGTGGCTGCCGGCCTGGGCTGCTGGCCCTCTGGGTCTCTCCAAAAGACTGCTGATGTTCGTTGGCCAGGACAGCCCTCTCGGGCCCAGAGCCCAAGGAAGAAAAGGCCCGGGAGGCTCTGCACCAGGGGATACGAAGGCCTGAAGCTCCCTGTGCATTTGGGCAGGAAGAGAAATGTCCTCCAGGCCAGACTGCAGATGTGAGATCTGAATCCAGTTGAGAGGTGGCCAGCCTGGCGGCTGGGAGCATCGGGCAGGTTCACCCTGGGGTGGCGGCGAGAACAGGAAGGGGGTTAGGCTGTCAATAAACAGCGTTTGGTGGCCTGTTGCCCCGTTTCTCACCTGGATGGGTAGCAGTGACTGTCCCTGGACAGATCACCTGAGCAAAGCAGCTGGGCATATGGTACAAGTGTATGACACAAGCTAGGCATAGGATACAAAGGAGCCTTGGTGGCGGTGTGCTTATGCATTGGGCTGCTAACACCCACAAGGTCTTCAGAACCGCTAGCCTCTCCTTGGGAGAACGACTAGGCTTTCTACTTCTTTAAAGAGTTACAGTCTCGAAACCCACAGGGGCAGTTCTACCCTGTCCTGTTGGGTCACTGTGAGCCAGAATCAATTGAATGGCAGTGAGTTTGGTTTTACGTTGTTCTATATCCAGAGACCTGGTACCAAATACCTCTCCCTGAACTTGCCCCCAGCAGGCCCTGTGCTCTGGGGACAAGAATGGATAGCAGGGACATTCCAGGAGGGGCACCTGCTTGCTGCCCTGGTCCAGAAGCAGTGAGGTTTTGGTACATGAGATAAGTTGGGACTTATTCTTGATCCCCAAGTGTCTGGAGCCCCAGGTGAGGGCTAGGAGTAGCCAGGGAATTCAGATGTGGGGACTAGGTGGAGCTGTGGACAGAGAGTGAAGCATACACATAGATACACACGCCTGCAATAGACTCCCATCCGCCGCCAGGTACCCCATGTGGGTCAGAGTAAAATGTGCTCCACAGGCTTTTCAATGGCTGCTGTTTCAGATCTCCAGGGCCTTTCTTCTGAGACACTCTGGGTAGCTTTGAACCTCCAACTGGTGGGTTAGCACCTGAGCATGTTAGCCGTTTGGATCACCTAGGGATGTCGGTGGGCAGGGAAGGTGTATTCATTTGTTTCACCCATACCATGCCCTAATTCTGAGTCCTGGTGGCAAGGTGGGTTATGCACGGGGCGCTGCTAACTACAGGGTCAGCAGTTTAAACCCACCAGCTGCTCCACAGGAGAAAGATGAGGCTTTCTACTCTCAGAAAGTTTGACAGCCTTGGAAACACTGTCCTAACAGGTCTCTGTGAGTCAGCGTTACTTCGATGGCAGTGAGTTTAGGTTTGGGGCTTTGAGTGAGTTCCTCAGTGGGCAAATCCCTGTACTGGCCAGCTCCCCTCATTACTACCTCCGTGCCCTCCAGAGGGCCTTGGGCCCTCTCGGATTTTTATTTATTAGCCACACTGTCATTCATCCAATGTTGCTCTGCGTATTGAGGTCTTCGCTCTCTCACAGGCCCCTATTTGAGACGACCTGATGTCCCTTTCTTTATTCCCTACTCATCTCTCTTCACTGCTGGTGCAGACTCACAGCGACCCTATAGGACAGGGGAGAGCTGCCCCCGTGAGGTTCTGAGACCAGAACCCCTTACTGGAAGAGAAAGGCCCGTCTCTCTCCCGAGGAGCTGCTGGTGCTTTCCAAATGCTGCCCTTGTGGACCGAATCCCAGTGTCACCACTACGCCACCAGGGTCCACTGATCTCTCCCAGCACTGAAATCATCAAGAACCTATAGGACACGGCAGAACTCCCCTATGGGCTTCAGAGACTGACTCTTATGGGAGCAGACAGCTTCGTCTTTCTCCTGCCGAGCAGCTGGAGGGTTAGGATCGCTGACCTTGCAGTGTAACTTATTCTGCCACCAGGGCGCAAGCGGGTTAATTCCCCTAAGTTCCCACAGCCCGTATCTCTCTGAACCACGTCGGAAGGCCTGTGAAAATCCCCCATGGGCTCTCCGTCAGGCTGTGAACAGGCGTGAGTGACTCCCTTGCCCCGGCTAGCCCAGGTGGCTTTTCCTCTGAATTAGAAACAGATGGCCTCGCCAGGTGGATCCAGCCCCATGCCAGGGGCACCATGTGGCATGCTGAGCACTAGCTAGGTTTGCTCCCTGACACGCCTCGTTTTTTGGTTTGACTCTGCTGTGTAACAAACAGTGCCCCAAACCACGTGCTGCTCCGGAATCTTTGCATCACTAGACAATACTGAGCAGGGCTGGGCTGGGCGTTAACCCCCAGCAGTCCACTTCAGGCCCTCGGGGCTCTCCGGAATGCTGGGACGTCCTGTGGTCAAACTCACTGTCATTGGGTCGATGGCGACTAACAGTGACCCTCCACGACAGGGCAGAACTGCCCCTGTGGGTTTCTGAGATTGTAACTCTACAGGAGTAGAAAACCCCGTTTTTCTCTCGAAGAGTGGGTAGTCATTTCAAACTACTGACCTCGCAGTTAGCTGCCCAATGCATAACCCACTATGGTCATAACCAAAGATGCAGGAGGTCCCTGGAGGCTGAGGCTCAGAATCAGAATGCTCCCTCCGACCACATTCCATTGTCAAAGCAATAGCATGTTCAGCCCCGCCCCACCCCACACAAGGAGGGAACAGAGGCTCCTCACCCCCGATGGGAGCAGCTTCTTCGAAATCACATTGCAAAGGACGCAGGTGTAGGGACAGGTGAAGGACTGGGGCCATTTTCTAGGTGATCTGCCTCAGGCCTCCACAGCCAGAGCTTGGCCTCCAAAGCTTGGCGTCTTTAAACCCCTTTGTGGCTCCAGTCCAGCCTGGACTCAGCACAACACTGGCTACCTATCCCCAGGTGCCCTCCAGGTGGCACTCGTCTCTCCCTCTCAAGCTTAGTCACCCCTCACC